AAACAGAAAGATTTCTCCCAAGTCCTCTTCCCCAAATATGTTAGACTTAGGGCACTGGCCAGACTACTATCTGGTCCCACCAGAAGTAGGGCCCATCCCCTGCTGTTTAGGACAATGGGCTACTTCTCCCTAAAGGCTTGTGACCATTAGTCTGGTCTCTGTAGGTAGGGTTTACACTAAGGTGACCAGACATCCCGCTTTGGTTAGCAATAATTACCCTCTTGGCCGCTCCTTGGCTCCCTTTCCTCTCTGGTCCTCTCTCCCCTGTTCCCTTTCCCCATGTGCTCCTTCTCCTCCCCCTCTCTCCATGTGGACCACCAAGCGGGGCTAAAGTGAGCATGCTACCATGAAATGCGTCTGACTGTTATTTCAATCTCTCCTCTATCTCTCATGCTCTCTATGACTTTATGATAAATATACATATCTGAACCGTACAATTGCGCCTATCGAACCTGTGATTAGCTGTGGGGGGCTGGCCTTTCCCTCCTCAGGGACTGACTGTATTTTCCCCAACATTTAACACAGAGCCTGCCTGACACATGGTTTAAACATATCTGTTGAATAAATATATGAATGAGTTGAGGGCTATATCCCTAGAGAAATGTAACAATGCTTTCTCTAAGTTGGGGGATGTGAATTGTTTTAATTCCTGCCTTTGCTGATCTCTCTTTTCTGAGATGGAAAGATTAATTTGAAATGTTTTAAAAAATTAATCTTTTTTTTTATGTTTTAAAGAAGAGAAAAATCCAGGGTGGAGGAATCCAGAGGAATAGCCACTCACTCCCCACCACCTAAGGACACCACATGACATGACCCATCCATAGAAGGGGGCTTCCAAAAACATGGTGGAAATTTGGAATGAGTGGAATTTGGAAGAGAGTGGAATTCTCCCACCGACTTGTCGAAGCCCCTCCCAGTTTACACTCCTGGGTTCTTACCTTGGGGTGCAGCTCCAGGACCAGGAGGGGCCCACAGGGCAGGGCACCAGGGCTCCCCTTGCAGGCGGCGATGAAGCGGACAATGTGCTCGTGCTGCAGGCCCGGCAGCTCGTACACGGCTCGCTCGGTTCGAAACTGGGCTACCGCCCTCGCCGGGAAGGCCTTGATGGCCACCGGCTCCCCGTGCAGTTTCCCGGCCCACACCATCGCGTGGCCTCCTTCCCGCAGGACCTGGTGGGGACACGGTGCTGGGTGCTGCGGGCGCGGGCCTCCTCCCCGGCCTAACCTCGGGCGAGAGCCCTGCCCTCCGTGCTGGGCACCTGTGAGAAGCACAACCCAGGCAGCTCCCGCAGCTCCTCTCGGCAGCCTCCACCGGAGTCAGCGCCTGGGCGCCCTCGCCCTCGGCAGGCCTTCCTCTGCAGCAGGCCTGGGGCCGAGAAGGGCGTCGGGGGTCAGGGTGCATAGGCAGAGAGGGGTGGGGGAGGGGAGGCCCGAGTGGGGTCGGTGTCTGGAGGTTCTGGCGGAGGGGTGGGGCGAGGGATGCTCAAGGTGAAGGTACCCAGAAGGAGCAGCACGAGCAGCAACAGCAGCAGCAGCAGCAGCAGCAAGGGCGCCGTCCAGGTCCAGGACTTGCCTGCACACCAGGGCAAGAAGCCCCCCCACCCCCACCCCCCGCCGGTGAGTGCGTGGCCCGCCCACTGCCCCTCTCCCCTGGCTCAGAGCAGCCTCCCTTCTTGACCCACCCCTGCCCTGGTCACCAGCCCCCATATCTCCCGGTCACCAGGGCAACCAACTTCTCAAGGCCAGGAGAGGGAAACTGGAGGCAGGGGGGTGGGGGGGTGGCAGGGGGAGAACTGGCTCTGGAGTCTCCACTTGGCCTGCTCTGGGCCCCAGCCACCTCCCCTCACTCGAGCTCCAGCACTCACGGGGCTCTCTACCTGGGGCAGCTCGGGGACCCTGGGAGCTGGGAGTCCCGGGGCTCCCTGGAGGCGGCGGCAGGGCGCTGTAATTGGCATTGCAGAAGTCCGCGCCACAGGAGCAGGTGAAGAGGGTGGAGTGGGGGCTGGGGTGGGCTCGCGGGGTGGGGTCACAGCGTGGGGACTCGCAGCCCGGCTCATCGCCATCGCGACATCCTGGTGGCGGGGTGGGGGGGTGGATTAAGAGGAGAGAGGTGACAGGGTCTAGGGACACAGAGGGACAAAGTCCCCCTTTGGAAGCAACCCTTCCAACTCGTGGAAGCCCTTTAGTTCTGACTTTCCGTCCCCTCCTTCCCCCTCCGCGGCCGCCACGGCCAGCCCACTGGAGGATGCCTCGCCGCCTGCCTGTCCCCCACTACAGCCACCGCCTGCCTGGTCCTTTGCCATTCACCTTGCATCTCCACCTGGGCCCGGCCTTGGGTCAAGTTCCAGATCCCAAAGCAGCAGTGACTGTAGAGGCAGTGGATAACTCTGGGGGGCCCTGGGCCGGAGTCCAGCAGCTCCCCCAGGGTCTTTGTGCTTCCCCGAACCCCTGGGGCTTCAAAGAACACACAGGCCCGCCTGCCGGGGGGTGCTGCAGTCCAGGGTGAGGAAAGAAGGTTCAAGGTGGAGGTGAGAGCCAGGGCCAAAGCAACGCCAACCACACCCCACACCTAGACTTAGCTCAGGATCCCTCTGGAACGCTCCCTCCCCCCCAGCATTGAGGCCAGCAGAGGCCCGAAATGAACCTCCCTCCCCACCCCCCCCACCAGGAAAACACACCCTTCTATCCCTCTCTCTCCCTCCCTCCTTCCCTCTCCCATCCCACTCCCCACTCCTGGTCCCTCATGGGTGGGTGGAAAGCCCCTGCCCCTTCTTGGGACACTTACCCTGCACAGCTGTGGGGAGCACTGCCCAAAGGCCCAGAGTCCCCAGCATCCTGAGGGATGGCAGCAGATGGAGGGGAACGGCTGGCTCCCTCCAGTTTCCTTCAGACATGGGGCACATGGTGGGCCTTGCAGTCCCTCGGCTCCCAACTCCACCCACCTTGCTCCTATCCCCGGTCTCTGTGGGGGAGACGGCTGCTGTGGGGGAGAGGATGGTGGTGGGCAGAAGCAGAGAAGAAAAGGGAGGAGCAGAGAACCAATCTCATAACCTCCAGCCACCTCCTCTTTCCTCTGACTAGCTGGAGGAGGGGGCCAAGCTGGAATCCAGGGATGCCTGCTTGCAAACCTTGGCCCCTTGATGAACCTGAACAGAGGTGCTGCACCCTGTTGGCCCTTTGCAGGCTGGAAACCCAAGTGCTCAGAGTGGCAGCACGCAAGAGCCTCTTCTCTCTTTCCAGGATCTGGATCTGTTAACCTGGAAAGAGAGAGGCACAGAAGGGCCTGCAACAGACTTAACAATTGACCCTGTTTTCCAAACTCAGAATCCGGGAGCATTTATATAAAAATTCTCAGAGTTAAAAAAAAAAAAAAGATACCGAGACACTATTGGTGTGTGCACACCTTAGAATGATGGTCCATTTGCTATCAATTGGAACAAAGTGCAGAGGGTTAGAGAGAAGGAGGGATGGAAACCGGAAAGATAGGGCAGGCGGTGGTGGGAGGCGAGCGAGTGAGTGTGTGAGGGGACTGTAGCGAGGGAGATGAAGTACAATGGAGATGAATGGTTGAATGATGCTCTACTCTATAAACCTTCCCCCAATTGACAATACAAAATTCAAACAGAAGATCACCGAGGGCGGTGATGAAGGTAACTTTTATGTGGATTTACCACAATACTAAAAAAAAAAAAAAAATCACACTATAATATGAAAATTAAAATAATTTATAAATTATCAAGCGTTCACAAGGTTGGGAGGGGGAAAATGAGGAGCTGATATCAAGGGCTCACATAGAAAGAAAATGTTGAAGGGAGACGTCGGAAAGTGTAAGATATGACAAAATAATAATTTATAAATTATCAAGGGTTCCTAAGGGAGGGGAGGACGGGGAGGGAGGGGGGAAAAATGAGGAGATGATGCCAGAGGCTTAAGTGGAGAGTAAATGTTTTGAGAATGATGATGGCAACGAATGTACAAAGGTGCTTTACACAATTGATGTATGTATGGATTGTGATAAGAGTTGTATGAGCCCCAAATAAAATTATTTTAAAAAAAGAAAATGTTTTGGAAATGATGGTGGCAACCTACGTACAAATGTGCTTGCTACAATTGCTGAATGGATTGTTATAAGAGCTGTAAGAGCCCCCAATAAAAGTATTTATTAAAATTAGAAAACAAAACCACGCACTAAATAAATCACCATTATTGAACAGGTAATTAAAATTCTGGTTTTTTAAGTGAGCATCTACTTGGTGCTAGGACACAGCGCGTGCCATGCCCTTTACCATCTTCTCATGTAATTCTCCCCCTGAGATGTTACCTTCACTTAATAGGTAAGAAAGCTCGATTTCTGTGACTTGCCCAAAGTCACTGAGGGCTGGGATTTGAGCCTAGATATAGCTGACTCCAGGAGTCCTGGCCGCAGTTGTGGTTAAGTGCTCGGCTGTGAATCAAAAGATCAGTGGTTCAAACCCACCAGCTACTCTGACAAGCTGCTGCGGTAAAGATTTCCTAGGTGGAAATCTTTTGGGGCACTGTACTCTGTTCTATAGGGTCGCCAGGAGACCACAGTCCCTGGAGAAGGACATCATGCTTGGTAAGGCAGTGACAATGAGGAAGAACTTAGACGAGATGAGATGTATTGACACGGCGGCTGCATCGATAAGCTCAAACATAGGAACAGTGGTGAGCACGGCACGGGACTGGGCAGTGTTTCCTCTATTGTGCCTGGGGTTGCTATGCCTGGGAACTAACTGCACCTAACAACGGTCAGTCAGCGGGCGTCACAGTGGGCCCGATGGCACAGGACAACAACATCTGATCCAAAGCCCAGACTCTGCTCTGCAGCAGACTTTGCTGCCCCCAAGTACAATATTTGAATACTGGACTTGGAGTTCTACAAGGGTGAGTGAGACAGCACCGATACAAAACCTATATTCCACCACCACAACAAATGAAAATGTGAACTATTCTTGACAGGTCTGCCCCTTAGGTAGATGAAAGGTGTTCCATCTTTCTGATGCTTCCCTCGGAGAGGCCAGTTCCCGGGAAAGGATATTGTGACAGCTAAGGCTCCTGTCAACTGGCTGAGCCAGAATTCTCAGCAGTTTAGCAGGTGAGGCTCACCTAGCATGTGACCTGAACTAATGTCAACGACTTCAGATCCGCTCAGAGCAGCAAAGCAGCTGTAAGAGGACTGGGCAGTGTACACATGTGCTTGACACAATGGATGTATGTATGGACTGTGATAAGAATGTAAGAGCCCTCAATAAGATAATTAAAAAAAAAAAAGGCTGGGAGGAGTGCAGCCTCCCTGCAATGGGAGAAAGTGCCCTTGGGGTGTGGCCTCCACAGACTCACTGCCAGGGAGACCATTCTGACTCCCAGCGACCCTGGAGAAGTGACCCTCAACCTGTGGGTCACGACCCCTTTGGGGGTCAAACGACCCTTTCAAGGGGTCGCCTAAGACCCTATTTCCAATGGTCTTAGGAAATGAGACACCTCTCCTACATTGTCTCCAGGCGGGCCCGGCCACATGCAGATACGCCCACATACGAGTACCCGGCGTGAAGACTGTTACCCATGCTACACCATGCTTCAAGACAACATTTCATTTATTTGTCATTAGAAATAAATATTTCGCAATCTATAATGACATATTGATTTTGTGATTACTCACTATGCTGAATTATGTTCAATTTGTAACAGTGGAAATACATTCTGCCTATCACATATTTACATGCGATTCATAAGTGAGTTATGAAGTAGCAACGAAATGACAGTTATGGAGTAGCAACGAAAATAATGTTATGGTTGGGGTCACAAGGAACTGTATGAAAGGGTTGCGGCATGAGGAAGGTTGAGAACCGCTGAACTAGAGGACAGGGTAGAACTGCTCCTGTGAGGTTTCTGAGACAGTAGCCCTTTACAGGAGTAGAAAGCCTGGGCTCTCATAGAGAGACTGGTGGTCTGAACTGTTGACCTTGCAGTTAGCAGCCCAATGCATAACCCTTTACACTCCCAGGGCTCTGAGTCAGAAAAACCATGCAGCTTAATCTGACCTACAGACTTGCACCAGATTGGACTTCCATTTCTTCAACTGTGCACCCACCTTTAAAAAAATAATTATATATAGGGCGTGCAGCGGAACAGCAGGGGAGCAGAGTGGCGAGGTCCCCAGGGAGTGTCAACAGTGGACTTTGGGGCCTGGGCTTGGCGCCCCATTAGACTGGACCGGAAAACACTCCTGAGGGCCAACAGGCAGTCTTTGAACTAACTACAGGCTTTTCTTTTGTTGTTGTTGTTTTGTCGTTGGCTTTTTGTTGTTCTTGTGTTTTGTTTTCTTTTGTTGCTTTGTTTTGCTCTATCTTGTGTTTGTGCGCGTTATTATCTCCGCGGGTCTGTCTAAATAAGATAGGCTGGATGAACAATCTGGAGGAGAAAACAATGGGACCAACAGTTCTGGGGGACATGGGAGAGGGGGAGGTCGGGGGAAAGGTAGTGGTGTTAACAGACCCAGGGACAAGGGAACAACAGTGATACAGATCAGTGGTGGGGAGGGTGTGGGAGGCCTTGTGGGGTGTGATCAGGGGTAATGTGGCTGAGAGGAGTTGCTGAGGTCCAAATGGGCACTGAGCATGATGGTGGGACAGGAGAGCGGGAGGAGGTGGATGAAGGGACTAAGGCAAAGGGCATTTGTAGAGGTCTAGATAAAGGCATGTACATATGTAAATATATTTATATATGAGGATGGGGAAATGGATCTGTGTGCATATATTTGTAGGTTTAGTATTGGGATGGAAGATGGACATTGGGCCTCTGCTCGGGTGCTCCCTCATGCAGGAATACTTTGTTCTACTAAACTGGCATTGTATGATGCTCACCTTTCCAACATAATCAGTGGGGACAGAGCGGGTGCATGGGCGGGTGTGGTGAGGAGGACTGATGGAGCCTGGCTATCGGAGGGTATAGCATTTGGGGTCTTAGGGACTTGAGAGTAGGCAGGTGGCTGCCTGGCTTGGAAGTGGTGGGCCCCACATGGAAGAGGCACACCAGCCTGTGTGATCATGGGGTGCCAAGGGATCAGTTATCAGGCATCAAAGAACAAAAAATCATATAACTGTGTGCTCACCTTTCCGATACGATCACTGAAGACAAATGGGTGCATAAGCAAATGTGGTGAAGAAAGTTGATGGTGTCTGGCTATCAAAAGATATTGTGTCTGGGGTCTTAAAGGCTTGAAGGTAAACAAGTGGCCATCTAGCTCAGAAGCAGCAAAGCCCACATGGAAGAAGTACACCAGCTTGTACAATCATGAGGTATCAATGGGATCAGGTATCAGGCATCATCGGAACAAAAAATCGTATCATTGTGAATGAGGGGGAGTGCAGATTGAGGATCCAAGACCCATCTGTGGGCAGCTGGATGTCCCCTTATGGAAGGGTCGCAGGGAGGAGATAAGCTAGTCAGGTGCGGTGTAGCAACAATGAAACATACAACTTTCCTCTAGTTTCCTCTCCCCTTCTGCCCCTCCTGCTGTTGTGATCCCAATTCTACCTTACAAATCCGGCTAGACCAGAGGATGTACAGTGATACAGATGGGAACTGGAAACACAGGGAATCCAAGACGGATGATCCCTTCGGGACCAGTGCTGAGAGAGCAGATACCAGGAGAGTGGTGGGAGGAGGGGGGCAGGGGGTGAGGTCGATTATGGGGATCTACATATAGCCTCCTCCCTGGGGGATGGACGGCAGAGAGGTGGGTGAAGGGAGACGTCGGACAGTGTAAGATATGACAAAATAATATTAATAATTTATAAATAATTAAGGGTTCATGAGGGAGAGAGGAGTGGGGAGGGAGGGCGACGGGGTGGGGGTGCTGATACCAGGGGCTCAGGCGGAGAGCGAATGTTTTGAGAATGATGATGGCAACAAATATACAAATGTGCTTGACACAGTGTGTGTGTGTGTATTGTGATAAGGGTTGCACAAGCCCCCAATAAATTGATTAAAAATAATAATAAATTGTTGGA